ACTTGGCCTTGTTGAACCTTATGAGGTTCACATGGGCTCACCTCTCCAGCTTTCATCCAGGTCCCTTTGGATGACATCTCGTCCTTCTGGTGTGTAATTGGAGTTGAAGCTTCAAATTGAAACAGCATATGCATTTCTTTCCTCATTTTAGAATTTTTTAAAAATAAATCAACTACATTCAGTGTGCAAGAAAGGAAATCCTGAATTGTACTCTTTTTCTTTTTTACTCGTTTTTTAAATCTGTTTCCTTACTATAAAATCATTAAGTTAAACTACTAATAGCATGAAGGCAGAGGAAGTAGAAATTAGTGTAGAAAACCATATTCCATAATTATGGTAAGCCATGATTCATGGCCCGAGTTTGGTGAAGGAAATTAATTTTCCCGCTTAGAGCCTGGGGATGCAACACAAGCTATGGCTTTGCAAGTGAATATGACAAAAACAATATTAAAATATGAGATACAATAATAGAAATTATAGCATGTTTCTGCAGTTTGATTTAAATTAAGATGGACTTGGGGCAAACTTTACAATTTCTCTGGTACACTTCTTGGAACGACATACTATTTTGAAATTTAAATCTGAGGTGTGTTTGTGCTTTTTAATCTGAGATCTCACAACTGTCATTCAGGCCGTGTAGTACAGGCCGGGACAATAGAAACTCTGAGAAATACAGGTGAGTACCAGCAACGGGATGAAAATCATGACTCTCTTGGTTTCTTTTAACAGGAAATATCCATATGTTCTCAAATGTAGCCAGAGATGCGCACTATTACCCACGGAGGCACCGAAATGAAAGAGCATGGACGCAGGAGCAAGAGGAGGAAGAAAACAGGCCACAGGTAGCCAGGAGGAGGGATCTCTTGGGCTTAAATATTTCACCAGGGTGGGGGGTCCACTTACACATCTGAAGCCAGAACAGACTTTCCCATCCTTAAATGCTCAGTGTTCATCCACAAATGCTGCACCCAAAATGGATGTTTTCAAAAGTAACTAGATTGTCTTTTATTAAATCGCTACTTTAAAAATACATTGTATTGATAGGATTACAGGCCCCAGAGTTTCTGTCACTGAGTGTTTTGCTGGTGCTTGCTTTTTGCAGGCTCTAATGGTTTGGTAATCCAACAACAATTAGTCCAAATGTGGACTGATAACAGGTACGGAAGTACTGGCTTGTCCTCATGGCATATTTAATCCTTCCGTAAATTAGCACAAAACTTCTGCCCAGGTGCAGCACAGGCTTCTTCCAGCCCCAGGGCAGGATGGGTCTGAGATACTTTTCTACCAACTGAAACCTCCAGATGAGACACAAGGTGTCATTTGTGGCTAGCACACATACACACATGCCACCTGCATTGGAAAAATCTTCCTCTAGAGGCAGTCTGTTAACCTAACAAGATCATTCTCCAAGGAAGATGAATTTTTCCCTGTGAGTCTCTTCTGGTCAGGCTCTGAAAAAAACTCAATACAGGCTATAGACAGCTAAGCTAGGGCAAATTAATCCTACCTACTACTGCATCAGGTATCCTTGTTGCTGTCCCAGGGCAGAGGGCAAAGCCTAAATAGCTGCATATTATATTTTGCTCCTGATTAGAAAAGGCATTTTAGAAGCCAGTTTAGAAATAAATGACAAGCAGAAGTGAAGATTTATGTTTTATCTTTGATATTTTTTCCACCCTTTTGTTCTACTGAATTCATTCAAACAAAAAAACCCAAGTGCTTGCATCCTGTCCCAAGTTACACGACCTGTGGTCTCTTAAACCTTTACTTTTCATCCATTTTATCCAGTGTTTGAACAGAGGTTGAGATTTTTAGAATGCATGTAGCAAACTTCAGAAGATGCACAGAAAGCTGTAGGCACAAATGGGAATTGCAGTGTGTTCCTTCAATTTGGATGGTCAGCCAGTCACTGGCAGGTACAGTGCTGTGGGCATCTAACACCTTGTGAAGGAAGCTGTAGATGAAAGAAATGTCATGAAAATATAATTGAAAGAAAATGGCTTTAAAGAGTTCTCTGAGATTATTAATAAAGGTTATTTTGAAGTTAAAATGTCATCCCTCTCAAAATTCAAAAGTACTGCTTTTTTTCTTTTTAGTTTACGTTTAATACAGTGTTGATCTATGATAGATAGCCTGGTTTCTGTGAACAGGTGCATCCTTTTCCATCTGTATCTTTTCTTGACTACTAATTATTGTTCTTTTCAGAATTCATATTCTGCATTTATTCAGTTGATGCCAGTTTTCATAATAATAGTAGTGTCAGTTATAACTCAACTGATGGCCACAAACCCACCCTACAGCCTATTCTACAAATCGTAAGTCATTTAAAAATACATTTTTTGGGTCTTCAGTGTTTGCAGTAAGGAGGTAGACGAAAGTTGGACTTGATGGCAAAATGCATGTTAGTGTTCTGTTCTGCTCTATAGAAAGTGTTACCAATTTGTAAATAAGGAAATACTAACAGTCTCTATTGACGAGTTCTGCTAAGCATTACTGCTATGAAGTTAACTATGGTGTGTTTTATTGTACTGTGTGCTGAACAAATAGAAGTGCTGAGCCAGAAAGCTTTCTCAACTAGTGTGAAATGTTTTTACACAGTGATAACAGTAGCAGGAATGTGGGTGTAGCTCAGCTACAGTGCTGATCAGTCTCCGGTCTCCAGAGCCCCCCAGGATCTGTGGACCACGGCTTGAGGGTCCTATGTAAAGCAATTAAAAAATGAAGCCTGTGGTTTGCAGTATAAATCCAAATCTGCTCTGGAGCCTGAATTCCACTGGAAGAATTGTCAAGCTCCACAAATCATTAAAGCCTTGAAATGCCTTGTTTTAACATCTGTAAAGAAGCAGGACCCCAGGGTTGCAGAGGGCAAACTGAACTGGTCAGCTCTGGAAGCAGAAGGAACACCACGAGGCCTGCTTGTTTGTGGGGCAGAACAAAACCCACTTGTTCCTCTCAGCATCCAGCGTTGGGAGGAGGGAGGCTCTAGGGGGAAAGAGCTGACCAGTTCAGTCACCTCACTGGCTCTTACTGAGATAGGAGCGGGAGTCAGCAGGTTTTGGAGAACCTGCTGCACGCAGCAGTAGCGGAGTGCTCCACACACTCCCCTTGCTCCCTTCTAGGAGCAAAACTGCTTAGGTTTAGGTCTGTATCTTCTGCACTGTCGTAGTCGCCCAACACCCTTTATCGTTTTTTACCACAAGATGTCAGTGTATAGACCTAGCATAAGATGGTTGGGTTTTGGGTGGGGGCTTTTTTTTTTTTCAGAGAGTGTTTTTGCTATCTGCCAGTCCCATGTGAAGCCTCCCACACTGCTGCCAGAGCAGCTAATCTCTCCTGCTTTTCTTCACTACTTCCCCTTCTCCTGTTGATTTGAGATAGTCAGGCCTGAGCCTGGTACACAGTTATGCTGTTTCTCTAAATCATATCCTAAAAAAAGCTAGCAGCCTAAAAACTGAAAGAAATTCTTTATATAAAAGAGAGCATACACCTCTGAGACGTAGCAAGAGAGAAGGAAAAGAGGAGTCCAGGAAATGGAAGGGGCAAACTGGATTCCATTGAGTAGAGTGTAACGTTTGTGTTTTGGCTGCCTGCCTCTTTCTTTGGACAGTGATTTGAAAAAACGCCTGGGTATCTTTGCTCAAATAAGGAAATTCCATATAAGTATAATTTAATCCAGTGGCTGTGTCAGAGTGGCTAATTCTACCTACAGGATATTCTTTGGGATATTCCACACCCCACTTAACTTACTGATGATTATGAAACCCTAAAGGAAAGCTTAACTAGAATCTGCCCTGCAAATTCATATTTTTACTGAAGGATCGAGAAATTGGGAAAATCCAGATCCAATTGCATTGTGCCCTAAGCAATATGAGGGCCATATGCCTTTCCTGTAATCTCTACCTTTATTATCAATTCCCATAGCTTTCTGGACGTAGCTTGCCAGAAATGACCAGCAAACAGAAGAAAGCATGTGGAGCTTCCGTTCACAGATAAAGTTTGCTCTTATGTTTTGGAAGTGTCTTGACTGTGCTGATGAGAACACACACAGTATTTGGAAGGAACAGTGTCAGCTCGGAGTCAGTTCTGTGTCAATATCTCCAAATATTAGATATTTTCCTGGGCTTTTTGGCGAGGGGAAAGGGGTGGGGGGGTGAATTCTGTTGCAGTGCACAGCTTGCTGTGCCCAAGACTTGTAATTTCCTAATTGGATGGTTGAGGGAGCTATAGTCCTGCGGAAAGTAACTAAAGATGTTGTAAATACTGTCCTCTAGAAATGCTAATATGGAGAAACATTTCTTGTTTTCTTTATATTTGAACTGCTAAAAAAAAAAAAATCTGTTTTCTCCATGATGTTTTCACAGGTCCATAGGCCATGTTATTAGTAGAGAAACAGAGAACTTGCAGGTGCCTTACTATGTTGATAAAAACTTTGAAAAGAATTATCAAGGAGCAGAACTTCAAGAGCTAGAGAAAACTGTTGAAAAAGATTACATAGACTATATTCAGACCAGCTGCTGGAAGGAGAAACAGCAAAGTAAGTTATTTTTCATACAAGTGTGTGCCTACAACCCACCAGTAATTGTATGATGGCTATGCTTCACAAAGCACTGCCATTTTTAGCCTCATTTTCCGATGCATTTAACATCTCAAATCTTGCACTGGTATTTCTCACATCTGCTTTTAACACTGGATTTGCTGCTCTTGAGGGTCTGTCCAAATTCATTTCAGGTGATTCTGAGAGACAAGTGGAAAGCAGATTTCACCATTTGAGACATTTTTTCCACTCAGTTTTTATGCTTGAATAACTCTTAGTGATGATGTTTTAAACATGTAATACACCACATTTATCTAGGTCTGACAGATTGCTAGGGCTAGAAAAGATCTCGAGACATCACCCATTTCACATTTCCTTTGCTGGAGTGGAATAATTTTTGCTTTGACTGGCTCCAGGAGACAATTACGTAATTTTTTCTTCGAAACTTCATTAGGAGAGCCCATAGCCTATTCATATGCTTTTGGTAATCTTGCAGTGGACTGCGTTACTGATACCAGTTTTAAAAGAGTGTGCTTCTGTACTTGTTTTGTGTGCTTATTTGCATTTTCTATCTTTAGATGAGTTTGAGATCATGTTTCTCACCATAGTCAAGATTGTCTTTTAAAAACAAGAATTGAATGCAGAAAGGGAGAACACAAAAATGTGACCATTCAAAATCATTATTTTCACATCAGTCCTAAGTCAAATCAGTGGCACGTATAAAGGCATGTATTTTAACCCCATATTGTATTATTTGTTAATTACAACTCTTCTAGTTCATTTAAAATAGAGCAAATCCCTGCTTCTTTTGTAACTGTACAAAATAACAAATCAAATTACAAGGACTAGCTGAAGTTGGGATGTTGTGACTGATTTTTTTTCAGCTGAAGAACTCATCACCTTAAAATGAGTAAACACAAACTACTGCTGCACATAAAGGAAACTGGAAGAAGTTGTTTCTGTGTAAATGTTTAATAGTAGCAGGCAAGCTGCTTTCACACACTAGTAGGGCTTTCTGAAGTGCTCTGCGTAAAACGACTGTTCAGCACACTACTAAAAAAGTGACTTTGCACTTGCTTACAGTTTCTTTACCAATTGCATCATTATGGTAGCATACACTTTGTCTAAGCAAGACTTGTTTAATCCTGTGCTAGAGGTAACAATAGTGTTGCTGACTCCCAACTATTTCAAGATTAGGCTAAGGGAACTGTTGATGGGATTTTGATAGGATGGGTTGTTTTGTTTTCATCTGGAGACTGTTTTGGTTTATTTTACATGTAAGTTACCAATCTTGCTTTAAAGAGAAATAGAGAGATGTAGGCTCTGAAGTTAAAAAAGAAAACAAAAGAACCCATAATATAAGACCATAAAGATCCCAAACCTTTAGTTTTTGGTGTGCTTGACTTCTGATCTCTGAGGATCTGTGGCTGGCAGTAGCAGCCCATAGGTATAATGTGGCTGTTAATAACCATAAATGTAGGCTTGCTATAGGGATAGAATTTATTTCTTACAAAAAAATCCTTTTAATTGACCTTGTGCAACTGAAAGTCACCATATTGTCTCTTCCATGTAGAGCTAAGCAGTGCCGTGCCCCAAAATGGACAACAGGGTTTGCAAGTCTAAGAGAGACT